CACAGCAAGTACTTCCACTAAAGTAGCAGTGGTGGTAGCCAGGAGCTCCAGAAACACCAGACCCTTGTGTAGTTGCTTCCTTCACCACCCTCGCACTCCATAGCTGCTTAGTTTGCCTAGAACTAGCAAGACTCTTAAGACAGCCCAGCCACCATATAATGCTTTACTCTAATCACAATAGATTAGGAGGTACTTCTGCTGTCCACATAAAAAGGAACTATTCATTAAAAGACCATTGGAGCTAAAATGCATTCAAATTGTTTTAATCTTTAAGGAAGAGCTGATGAAAGAAACCTACAGTCTGCATTGCCTCAGCCTCACTGCTGAAAGGCAGGGAATGCAAAGCAAAGCCAAGCGATCAAGCCACAAGTAACACTGTTCAGGGACCTGGGGGAAATCAACATTATAGGTAATCGGGAATGGTGCCAACATGTCTAATCCGGAGGTAAGGGTCCTCAATTACTTGAATGAGTCAAACAGCCCCAGTTCTGGTAGTGAGGGAGTTAGAGAGCCACCTGCTCCCAAACTGATGATTAAATTTAAATTTTGAGGTACTATTTTAAAAGCATCTTCCTTGGTGAGGGCTGATTTAACAAGTAATCCAATACATGTCAGACACCTGGTGTTGCACTGGGAATGTCACGTTTTATTAACTGTGCAGCAGCTGCCTTTTCAAGTACTGTCAGCTGTGCCTCACACTCAGGCCAGGGACTGCGCTGGGGCAAGGCAGCCATTGGATGTTCCACAGCTGAAGGGAACGCGCGCTCTGGCAGGGCAGCCGTTGGATATTCCGCAACTGAGGGGAGCACGCGCTCAAGCAGCCCTTGGATATTCCACAGCTGAGGGGAGCACGTGCTCTGGCAGGGCAGCCGTTGGATATTCCACAGCCGAGAGGAGCGCGCGCTCTGGCAGGGCAGCCGTTGGATGTTCCACGGCTGAGAGGAGCGCGGGCTCAGATTGGTTTTGGCGGACTCGTCCCCCACTAACTCACGCCTTGACCACTAGTCATTGCGCTGGTAGCTGATAAGGCACCAAAATAACGTCCTTGCCCCCATCCCGCCCTCACGGGGCAGGCGAGATTCTCTGACACCCCGCCCACATTGTTCAGCATTCCCCGGGGCAGGGCACTGCTTGGGGGCAGCAGTCACTGAAAAGTTTTTAGCCCAGCTTTCCCTCAGGCTATTCCATCTTCAACTCCGCCTCAGAAGGAAAGGCGGGGGTGAGAAGGAAATCCTGTCAAACGCAGTTCAGGCCCCTACCCCAGCTTGACCCTGTGTTTCCTCAGAGCCCCTGAGCTTGCAAGGGAAAGAAGGCGAAACTGCTCCTCATTGACTCCCAGCTCATGGGAGCTTGGGATCTACTTTATGTATTTTAAGTGGAAACTTTAAAATGGCCTCACGCCAACAGGAGTTGAGAAGAAAAATGAGCTGTTTGCCAGAGAGGCAGGGTGAAAACACAGAACAAGAAGTCTGTACTCCCATTAAGGGGAGGTTAATCATATTAAATCAGACCAGGAAAATATAAACAAAAATAGCCAGGGAGGAAGGCTTTGGGACTTGCAAGAAGAGTAAAAGCTATGAGAGAGTTTTCATTTTTCCTGACAGCTGCCAAAATGTCTCTGGTCTCTTTCCTGCCATTGTGTTTCCACCCTTTACAGTTTGGATATCTCTGTCATGTGACTAGGCAAACGCCTTCCCTGTTTCTGCTTCCGTTTTTCCTAACGCTGATTATTAAAATGAACATGTAAAGATGGTCGTCTCTACTTATAATAGCCTCTGTGTTCATGTTGCCCAGTGTCTTTGTGCCTTAGCTCTCTCTACATATCAGGAATACCTGCCAGTGTTCCCTGTAAGCTGAGTGCTTGAGTGACCACCCAGGAGAGATTCAAATGTCAACCAGCTGATTAGTAGAGAGCCTGCATATGGCAGCATGTATTTCTACTGCTGGTGCACATCTATGCATGTCTTGGTGCACATACCAAAATGTATTCCACATGTTGAAGGGAAAAAATTAGAGGAACATTGCTCAAGACCAATTTATTAGCAGATTTTTCAAACTTCAGCGTAGTGGACTATGAACTTCCTATTGTTCTCAGTTATATTATTCCTATAAGCCTTCTGAAAGTATTTCTGCTTCATCTGAACAATAAGATCTTCCTACTCCTTTCTCTGAATGGTATGAAGTAGACAGTAAACTGAGACAAAAGCCAGTCTGTTTATTGATTCACAAATTTCCTTGGGATCTTCTGGTAGAAATGAAAGGTTACATGGTGCCCATGGTCAAGATGTTACAGAACTTTTGAATAACATTGCCAACAGAAAGAAAAATAAGCAGGGCATTTCTTTTGATAAATATGTGACTGTGGTGGTCTTAAGTTTTCAGGCTGTAACAATATATGGTAATCCTAATATAATTGGTAATTCTATATATTCTTGGGGATTTAGCATTATTCTGTTTAGTGATCTGTTGATAACTTTCTCTTCACTGTATAGCTAAAGATGTTCCATGGGACTATTTAGAAATGATATACCTTCTAGATCAGTTTGACAAACGAATAAGGTGGATAACTGTAGCAGCATTTATTATCTCCACTGCTATTGATTTTACCATAAAGTTTGGTTTCTGTTGGAAACCTTTTATAAATCAGTTTATTTTCCATGCCGTATCATGCTGCATTTTTGCTCTATTTGCAATGGGTTTCCTTATAGTGTGTCCTATTGACTATTTTACAATCTATACTTACCACAAAACAGTTGTGTCTATAACCATCAGAAAGTTCCTGAATTATATTTTAATGTTCCTTATAACTTCCTTGAGTTTCTCCTTGGCTTTTTATCATTTAGTTTGATGAAATTCAGGTTTGGTATTTACATGACACAGATGCCTTTGCACGACAAATAACATTTTTATTTATTTAGTATTTGAGTGATTTTATAATATTGTCAGCAATGGAAGAGCCCAGTATTAGCTTATCACTGAATGCTTTGTAAGGCAGTCTTAACAATAGGAATACATTTCCTACCTTAGTAATGTATAACAGTCTTTTGGGCGCGCGCTCTGGCAGGGCAGCCGTTGGATATTCCGCAACTGAGGGGAGCACGCGCTCAAGCAGCCCTTGGATATTCCACAGCTGAGGGGAGCTCGTGCTCTGGCAGGGCAGCCCTTGGATATTCCGCAACTGAGGGGAGCACGCGCTCAAGCAGCCCTTGGATATTCCACAGCTGAGGGGAGCTCGTGCTCTGGCAGGGCAGCCCTTGGATATTCCGCAACTGAGGGGAGCACGCGCTCAAGCAGCCCTTGGATATTCCACAGCTGAGGGGAGCACGTGCTCTGGCAGGGCAGCCCTTGGATATTCCGCAACTGAGGGGAGCACGCGCTCAAGCAGCCCTTGGATATTCCACAGCTGAGGGGAGCTCGTGCTCTGGCAGGGCAGCCCTTGGATATTCCGCAACTGAGGGGAGCACGCGCTCAAGCAGCCCTTGGATATTCCACAGCTGAGGGGAGCACGTG